CAGGCTCTCGCGCTGGCAATGGCGTACCAATTAGTGACCAATCACCATAGGTAGTAGCCACCTATCTAGTGGCGGAGCCAGTCTTTCACTTCAATAGGAGCGTACACTAATTTTTTTAACAAATTATCTTAGTAAGGGCATATAAGAAAATATATTTATTTTAATGGGAGCATATATTATTTTAGTGAGGACATATATTATTTCAATAAGGATTTAAGTGTAAAATTTTAAAATTTTTAAAGATAATATTTTTTTTTAAAAAAATTTTAGTGAGGGCGGCTGTCTCCGCTCATCTTCAAGTGGCTCCACTACTGCACCTATCGACGAGCTTGGTCCGAACGACTCCATTCCGAACCCTCCAAGAGTAATCCATCCTCCTAGGCTGTTGCGTCTCTGAAGGCATTGGAGCAGGCATCCCTTTATTGAAAGTTGTTATGATGTCAAATTCAAGTGCTTAAAAAGACACTTTTTCGTGATTCATGAGGTGGTATAATTTTTTAAGCTTTAGACGTCAATAGTGTGGATTTACACCGCTAGACCGGGCCACCAACTATGCAGTAGAAATGGTATTATTAATGGGTTATGACAGAACATGTGCTGTTTAATAATGACTAAAATAACGCTAGGGGTATTCCTAAAAATATAACAATAATAATAGCTTTCAATAATAATACTAGGGGTACTTGCAAATCATAATGAGCGCGTTTGAAACTCGTTCTAAAATGATTTTATTTTTTGTATGAAAATAAAAATGAAAACGTTTTTAATTTCAGACAGAAAGCATTTTTAAAAATGCGTTTGGTAATTTTATCAAGAGATTGTTTTTAGTATAAAAAAACTCATTAATGTCTCTCTTTCTCTTTCTCTGCTTGAGAGAGAAGAAAACGAAAAAAATGACAAACGACTAAAAGTCATTTTTCATTTTTCTCTCATTTTACACTAAATTAAATTTTTTTTTTCATTTCTGTTTTTTGTCTTAATTGCGCCAAACGCCGTTTTAGAAACGTTTTTATTTTTTCTTTTTCAAAAAATGGGATCAATTCTAAACACGATTAATATGTAGCAACTTCAAAATCACATTACTCTTAGAGCGACCAGATTGGTTAATTTTAGGGTCGGAAGGTGGTCGGTGAACAAAGGTTGTGGTAAATTATTTGGATGGGAGAGCAAGTTTTAAAAATTGTCTTTTCACATATTCAAATCATGATTCAATCTTTTCATTTTTTTTAATTGTTTTTTGTACCGTGTTTTCTCTCTAAAAAATTTGAATATAAGTTTAAATTTTCTATTCATTCAAACTTATAAAAAAAAACACTACTTTTTTATTTATTTCTTCCATCTTTGTTACTTAAAAAGAAATTCTATAAGAATATTCTCTGAAGATGTCTAGTTATCTTTGTTGAGTAGAAAAAATTAAACTAGTAAGATATTAAAAATATATTACAAGGATATATATATTTGTGAATTAAGCAGGGTAAATGTTAAGTTTTAGTTATTTGTGTTGGCTCTAAGGTTTCATTAAATTAATTAATAATGATTTTGATGATAATAAATAAATTGATTGATTATTTACTAACATTTTTTTTAGATTGTTTTATGCTTAAATTGTTCAAGTATGTAAATTATTTAAGAAAGATTGAGCAATGTTAAAAAGTGCTCTCAAATTTAAAGATTGAAATTAAAAAAATGAAGCTTGAAGTTGGATTTTAGAGCTTGAAGAAATTATGTATAAGACTTGCTTATATATGTTTATTTTCACAACTTTAGTCTTGTATTTGATGTCTGAGCACTTAGTAAAAATTATCTCATTAATTTGGCTCAAAGTTTTTTCACTAAAAACTGTTTCTAAAATTCTTGCGAGTGACAATTTCTCTTACATCCAAATGATTTTTGAAAATTATAAAAAATTGATGGATGTTTTATTTGTATAAAAGAATATTTGTGTCTTAAAATTGTGTTAAAATAAAATTTTTAAGCCTTCTTAGAAGCCACATACAGGGTCTGCGTTGTCACCATCTGGTTTACCGGATGTGCCCAATGGCTAGTTAAAATTAGCCGTTAGACAAGAGCTCAAACGACTCTAGTTCGTACTTTTTGACATATAAGAGATCTTTTATGGTCTAAAATTGTGGTTGAACATTTCTAAGAGTTCCAAAGAGTATCCAAACATCATTGAACTCAAATTGCACTAATTCCTTTGATTTTTAAGCATTCAATACAATTTTTTTTTGAGTGATCTAGCTTTAAAATTTCATTATTTCACTAAAGTTTTAGGTTGCCAATCCCTTGTAATTTAGTGTGTAAAGAATACCCAACATTCTAAGTTAAAGTTTGACAATTGTAAGAGGCTGTGGTGGCCTTGGATTGAGGAAGTCACCATCTTTGTATTGGAGTGATCAAGCCGAAAAGACGATTGAATATAATGGAAGAGGTCAAACGGTGGTTTGCTTGGTGACAATAGATGTAAGCATATTGCCAAACCATTATAAATTGCATTTGCACTTTCTTTCTCTTAATCTCTTTAAATTTTCGCAATTTACTTTTCAATTGTTCTCTATCTTGATTGATTTGCATCGTGGTATTAAATTTATTTAGTTTCTTGTATTTTTTAAAGTGCTTGAGATTTCACATACAAGGGATGTTTAGTTAGAGGATTCAAATCATGATTTGAATCATATTTTATTGTTCGTTACAGTATTTTCTCTCACAAAAAATACACGTAAATCAAAAATAGTTTTAATCATATGATTTTAATCCATGAACCAAATGTCTCCAAGTGTTTGATAAAATTATATTGTTGAGTTTATCATTACTATATGCTCTAATTTTTCAATAATTGTGATTATTTGTGAAAAATTGTTTAAAACTTAATTCATCCCTTCTTGGTAGTCAATTTTAGGATAACAATTTGGTGATATTATATAAAGTTGACATTTTTTTAGTAGCATTTCCGTATTTCTTCTTCTTCTTCAAAAAAAAAAAAAAAAAAAGAAAGCAATTTGTCTAGTTTGTTTTAATTAGATAAGCACTAATGTCTTCAGCCAAGAAAAAAAAAAGACTAACTCTAATAACAAAAAGAAAAGTCTCGAGGTTTTACTTCCCATTTTTAAAAATTTTATTTATTTTTGTTGTTCTTTAGGATCATTTAAAACTTTTTTTTTTGAGAGATCATTTAAATCTCTTTTGTGGTGTACAAAATTAAACATTGATCAAGAAAAGACAAGAAATTGAGCATAAAAATGAAATTCAAAAATATCAATATGATATAATAAAGCCCAAAATATTGAATATATAGGCTCCGTTCACTTCGTTGATTCGAGTTTAGAATTTGAGTTTTTTTACAGTAAAAAGCTCTTATAAACAATCACATTTAACTTTTTTATTACAGTAAAAAATTTACATATAAAATTACATCTCAATTTGAATCAACGAAATGAAAGAGGCTCAAATCTCCAACTATTATTTATATTTTATAAAGTTAAAAATGAAAATATCCCTTGAGGGTCGTTTTTGTTGTCTTAATCGTTGTCCTTTTTTTTTATTTTATAAGTTGTCTTAATCGTTGTCAGACGTGAAAATATACAGTTTTTAGATTTTCTTTCTTTTCGCTGTGGTTTACATCACCAATAGTTACCCTTTTCCAAAAATTCAACGTCTTGGCGTCAAATTGGTTTCCGAATGGGGACTAAATTGGTAAGAAAGTATTTAATAACTATTGTTAGAAAAGAAAATGAAATAACCATCAAAATTAAGATTTTTAATCACGAAAAAAGTAAAAAAAAAAAAAAAAAAGGAGAGCGCACGAGTCTTAAAAATCATAAAAATAATTAAAACCTTTTGGGTACACTATTTTGATTATTTCTTTTTTTTTTTGCTGAAAAGATTATTTCTTAATTTGTTTCATCATTCTAGAAACTAACAAATGTTTTTTTAAATATAAAATACTTATTTCAATCTCATCTTTCACGTCATTGAACAGAAAAAATTACACAACACTAAGGGGTTGTTTTTTTGTCTTAAAAACTCAAAAAAAGACAACTCGAGTTTCAACTTTATTTAAGTTCGTGTTCTTTTAAGTTTTAACTTTATTTAACTTTATTCAAGTTACAACTTCAACTCAAGTTATAACTCAAATTTAACTAAAAAACTACACTCAAGTTACACTTTAAAAAAATAATCCCTACATAACTAGTTCTAAAAAAAGTTTTTATAGATTTTTTTATAAAAAAAAATAACATCCTAGAAGAAAACATCAAATTTCAAAAAAGAAAAAATATATTGAGTTTTATGTTTTTCAAATGTTAAAGTATTTAAACTTTTTCTGAACAAAAATAATTTTCAAAATAAATTGATTTGAAAATGTGCTAGGTAGGGATTATTTGAGAAATAATTAAAACTTAAGAAGATAATTTTTACATGATATGTTCTTTTTATTATCAGTATGAGTTGCTTTTTAATTGATTAAATTTTTAATAGTTTAATTTATTAGTGTTCATATTATAAGAGTTCGTTTGATTCATGGATTAGAACTATTTTCAATTTACGTGTGTTTTTTATGAGAGAAAATACTGTAGCGAATTATTAACTATGATTTAAATTAGAAAACGAATCCTCTAATTAAACAATAGACTGTTGATAAATAAATTTAATAATTAAAATAACTGTATCGATCGGCAGTGAAAAAGATAATTTCAGTAGTAAAAATTTATGAATGAGAAAATAAAATTAAAAGAAAAAAGAAAGCAAAAATAAGAAAGGTTACTTTTTTGAAGATTTTAAGTGAGAGAAGTGCGAGAGAGTTGTGATGTGGAGATCAGAAAGACGCCGTGTGTCAAATGTGGAAGTGCAAACTGCAAAGTGTTTAACTGAATGGTACGTTCGGTAATTTTCCTAAAAAGGAAGGGTATTCTCGTCGCCTCACCAACTTCGATTTTCCTCGTGTTTCCTCGCTTATATAAAATCACCATTCTCGCCCAGCTCCGAATTCTCTCACCACTTTCTCTCTCTCCGATTCTCGGCCGCCCGACGACGACGATTCGTGGTAGAAGGCGATCTCCGGGAACCAGATCCACCGCCGCCGTCAGACCGCCTCCGATTTCGAGATCCCGGTAACTCTCCCCGATAACTCTTCCATTGCTTTTCTCTTCGCTTTATTCAACATGCATTGGTGATTTTTTTTCGTTAGATCTCCATCCACTTCCGCTCCTTCCGAGCATCCTCAATTTCGCCATTCGATATTGTTCGGCTCTTGAATTTTGGAATCGCGCGAGAAAAATCGCTCCAATTTGGTTTCTTTCGCGCTTCGCAGAGATCCTCCATTCGCTTGCGTTGTTTTTTCTTTTTTCGGTGATTTGACGTTCTTTAGGTGTTTATTGCACCGAAATGCCAAAGCTTTATAGGAGAAAGTTTCGCTCATTTCCGTTCTATTGATCGAGTTTTAGATCCAGATCAAAGTTTTCTGTGTTCTTATATTTTGGCGGAGTCTAATTTTTTGTGGATCTGGAATTGAATTTTACGTTTCTTTTGGATTTCTCTTAATCTAATCTTTCTGTGAAAACGGTTGCATGTTATGGGTGGGATTTACATGATTGATTACTATTTCGTTTGATTTGATTTGGCTGAAATTTGAATTGCACCGAAATTTGGGATGTTAATAGATCTCCATAGAGAATGGCGTCCTCAGCGGCTGCGTCGTCAGGGTGGTACAGAGGGAAAGTCAAAGCTGTACCTTCAGGGGACTGCTTGGTGATTATGGCCATCACGGCTAACAGGTCCGGACCCCCACCGGAAAAGACCCTCACTTTATCCTCTCTTATTGCTCCCAGATTGGTAAACACCTTACCTATGTTTCTATATCGTCAATTTATATCCGAAACTTGATGATTAATTGATTTTTCTAGTCGATTTTGCCAATATAAAGCCGTGATTGAGTTATTGGCTGATTTGTTTTATTGTTGGGCTCTTTTGTTTTGTTTTTTTTTTTTTTTTTTTTTTTTTTTGGGCAGAGGTGGTATTGATGAGCCATTCGCGTGGGAAAGCAGAGAGTTTCTGAGGAAGCTCTGCATAGGAAAGGTGCGAAATTTTAGATTTACGTCACTTTCGGTTTGCTATATAGAATATAATTCTGTAACAAGATTTTCACGTATATCTTGATGTATTTTTTTCAGGAGGTTACTTTCAGGGTGGATTATACGGTACCGTCGATAGGGCGGGAATTTGGCTCTGTTTTCCTTGGCGACAAAAATGTTGCAATTCTGGTTGTTTCTGCAGGCTGGGCTAAGGTTTGGTCATTATTCGTTTGTGAAGAGATAAGAGAAATATGCATTAGCTGTATTCTGTTTCCGAAAAATTAGAGTGCAGGGTCAACAGATAGATTTTGTTTTTGAAATATGTATTAGCTGAATTCTGTTTCCGACAGGTCAGAGAGCAGGGTCAACAGAAGGGAGAAGCGAGTCCTTACCTTCCAGAATTGCTACGTCTCGAAGAGCAAGCCAAGCAAGAAGGTCTTGGTCGCTGGAGCAAGGTTCAGAGATCAATTATTTTCCCAGATTTACATAAATGATATTCCAATTTGTTGCTGAGAATGCAGTTGTATGCTTTATTTCTCTCTTGAAAGTTTCCTTAAATCCTCTTGAATTACGATGAGATGATCCATCACCATGATGATCGTTTCGTTAGTCTTGAATCTTAGCTTTTTTGGGTTTGGATCTTAGTGGTTGAAAGGATTTATTCTATTTTTACATGCCGAAGTGCGTTTTGTTTTCTGAAAAGTTAAATGATATAAATTTAGGAATCTGCCTCAAAATGATATTTCCAATAAGCAATCTTCATGTTAATCAACTAGAGACTCAAAAATCATGCTTATGGACAATTCGGAAAACCATGACACATTAAATGAGCCAATAGCTTTTTATGTGCGCGTGTGATTACATTTTTATGTATAGATATATGTGTGTACTTGAATGCCAAAACTGTGCATCTTTATTCTTGACTGCAGGTTCCTGGTGCTGCTGAGGAATCTATTAGGAATCTGCCTCCCTCTGCCCTCGGGGATCCTAGCAACTTGGATGCCATGAGTTTGTTGGCAGCAAATAAAGGAAGTTCTTTGCAAGGTATTGTTGAACAGGTTCGAGATGGCAGCACTGTTCGGGTCTATTTGCTTCCAGACTTTCAGTTTGTCCAAGTGTTCGTAGCGGGAATTCAGGTATGTACTTTTTCCAGCTCTATGTGATTGTTCTATAACACTTTCTCTGTGGTATATGTTTGCATATTTATTTTATTAATGTCTTCTGACACCTCTGTATGTGATTTCTACATCCATATGCATATAATTTAAAACTTTTCCTGTTTGATTTAGGCTCCTTCAGTGGGAAGAAGAGCCACAGTGGACGCTGTTGTTGAAGTAGAGAGGAACTCTGATGCAAATGGAGATGCTTCTGCTGAAACTCGAGCTCCTCTAACTTCTGCACAAAGAGTTGCAGCTTCAACAGCGGCATCAAATGAAGTTGGTGATCCGTTTTCAGCAGAAGCCAAACATTTTACAGAGATTCGTACTTTGAACAGAGATGTAAATATTTTGCGATTTTTCTTTCCTGTTGTTGTTCTTTTATATTGAATCTTTTTTAGTTGTAAACTAACAAGGTGGAGTTATAGGTCCGAATCGTCCTGGAAGGTGTTGACAAATTCAGCAATTTGATTGGCTCAGTCTATTATTCTGATGGGGAAACAGCAAAAGACCTTGCACTGGAGCTTGTGGAAAATGTACGCTCAATCTTTGTAGCACTAGCATAATTATTGAATTTTGATTTCTGTTTCAATAGTACCAAGCACTTCATCTACACTCGTTCCTTTTATCTTCAGTCTAGCTTTTTGTGTGGTTGTGTATTGAGTTGTAAGTATTTCAAAATATATTTATTTTATTTTATTTTATCTTATTTTTATTTTTGGATTCATCAGTATTTGAGGAAGTCCTTTGAAGGATATGCAGTTAAAGCTTTTAACCTTTATGTGTAGGGTCTCGCAAAATATGTCGAGTGGAGTGCGAACATGATGGAGGATCAGGCTAAGAAGCGTCTGAAGGATGTAGAACTTAAAGCAAAGAAAGATAGGTTGAAGATTTGGACTAACTATGTAGTTCCTTCTACAAATTCAAAGGCAATAAACAAAAAGTTCAAGGGAAAGGTAGCTGTTTAACCAATATATGGGTTATTAAGTTTTACACCATGGTTCTGTGACCAACGTTTGCTTGTGAATAATTTTACTACTTTTGCACACCAGGTTGTCGAGGTTGTTAGTGGAGACTGCATCATCGTGGCTGATGAGGATCTACCATATGGAAGTCCAGCAGCAGAGCGGCGAGTCAATCTGTCAAGTATTAGGTGTCCAAAACTAGGCAATCCTCGCAGAGATGAAAAACCTGCCCCTTATGCTCGTGAAGCAAAAGAATTTCTGAGAACACGCGTGCTTGGAAAACAAGTATGACACTAGCAATCATACATTATATAGTAATTATAGATCTTCTCTCCTTGTTCCCTTTCTCCCTCTCTCTCACTCATGTAATTTTACACCCAACTGTTTGCCTGTGCCAATTGTTTTGGTAATGTTGAACTTTCAGGTAAATGTTGAAATGGAGTATTCTAGGAAGGTCAGTCTGGCAGATGGACCTGCAGCTGCAACTGGAATTGCAGATCGGGAGATGGATTTCGGATCAGTCTACGTAGCTGGTGATGATGCCTCAGGAACAGCTTCGTCTACTGGTGGCAACCAGCCAAATGGTCTAAATATTGCGGAGCTGTTGGTTGGACGTGGCTTTGCCACTGTGATTAGACATCGTGATTTTGAGGAAAGATCAAATCAGTATGATGCCCTGCTTGCTGCAGAATCACGTGCAATTTCTGGGAAGAAAGGAATCCATTCTGCCAAGGATCCTCCAGTTATGCACATCACGGACCTGCTTTCGGTGAGAAATACAACCAAAATGGGAATTGTTATTCATGGTAATGTTTGCTCTCAAATTTTTTTCATGTTCTGTATCATTTTGTTGCTGTCAGGCATCTTCCAAAAAAGCAAGAGACTTTTTGCCATTCCTGCATCGGGCTAGGAAGATTCCTGCCGTGGTGGAATATGTCCTCAGTGGTCATCGTTTTAAACTGTTGATTCCCAAGGAAACATGCAGCATTGCATTCGCCTTATCTGGTGTCCGCTGTCCTGGTCGTGGTGAGCCCTATTCAGAAGAGGCAATTGCTCTAATGAGGAGGAAAATAATGCAGAGGGATGTTGAGGTATTCCTCGTTTTCCTCAAGATCCAAATGCTTCTGTTCTGCATTGCCTTCCATGATTTGATAAGTTGAGTCTCTTGTGCAGATTGAAGTAGAAACTGTTGATAGAACTGGAACTTTCTTGGGGTCTCTGTGGGAGTCGAAGAAAAATGTGGCTATAACACTCCTTGAAGCTGGCTTGGCAAGACTGCAAACTTCCTTTGGCAGTGACAGGATCCCTGATGCCCATCTTCTTGAACAAGCTGAGCAATCTGCCAAAAGGCAGAAGCTCAAAGTAAGAAGCACAAGAGAAATTTCATTTAAACTGTTTTCGTGTTGCTTTTTATAATTGAATTTTCCATTGCAGATTTGGGAGAATTATGTTGAGGGAGAGGAAGTCCCGAGTAACGGTTCAGCTGCTGAAAGCAAACAAAAGGAAGTGCTAAAGGTGCTTGTTTGTACAATTGCATTTTCTAAGTCCTCCAAGTGCATTGAATCAGTAATAATGATAAATTGATTTATTTTCAGGTAGTGGTTACAGAAGTTTTGGGTGGTGGCAAATTTTATGTTCAGACAGTTGGGGATAAAAATATCGCATCTATCCAACAGCAGTTAGCGTCCTTGAATCTTCAAGAAGCTCCCGTCATTGGAGCTTTTAACCCTAAGAAGGGCGACATTGTCCTCGCTCAGTTTAGTGCTGATAATTCCTGGAACCGAGCAATGGTGAGTTTTGAAATGATACCCAAGCTCTTCTTTTTTCCCTAAGCTCGTGACATGTAATTTTGTTCTTTTATCCAAGCTGCTTTCTCTTGGAGTTGCAGCAGTTTTTTTCCCCTTCTTTTACCCCTTGATGTGCTGCGATAAGAAATTATTGTCCTACAATCACCCCTCTAGTCAATCTGGAGGTAATTACTATAGCAAAGGCAAAATTGGGTGATTTAACAATCAACAATCAGCAAGAAACCATATTGAGGAGGGAAGATTGCATCCTGTTCCCTTGTACAATTATGCTTTCATTTCTTCTTCTTTATAGAAAAGTGTACAATTAGGTTTAGTTTCTTGGGCTCCTACGTGTTCTTGCTTAAGCACTTTATTAGGTCGTTTATCACACCATGCTTTGTCTGATAAACAAATGAGAAACTGACTCCACTCTTTTAGCTTTGCTATGCCTTTGGTCCGTTTCAGTTCACTACTATGATAGTAAAACTTGAATTAAAATGAAAACTTTTAACACAACTTGAGTTCGCTTGTTTTCAGTTTGATCGTGTTTAGTGCAACTTAAATTGCATTTGAACGTTCCAAGGTTTGAAGGTTTGAGTGTTTTTGTTTGTTGTTTTGTGTGTGGGTGGGTTTTTTTTTATTTTATTTTATTTTATTATTTTATTTTATAAATTTCTGGAAGAAGGTTTGAAGAACTTGTAAACATATCTCGTAGATGACCACAACTTTTCTTTGAAGGTTCCAAGAATATTGCATTTGCTCTAAAAGGGGAAAAACTAAATAACAAAAAAAAAAAAAGAAAAAAAAAAGAAAAAGAAGAAGAGGATTCGATTGCTGCATTGCAGCCTTTTGTTTTTTCAGTTTCACACACACCTGCACACACACACACACACACACACACTATCGTGAGAGATGGATATGTATCGCTCTTCTGCATGGTACATATAGATAGAACTTAACATGTGTTTCCCTTTCATTGAATTGTGTGATTTTATGACTTTGTATATCTTTTGTTTCTTTGTACTGAGTGTGTTATGTTTCACATGAAGATTGTGAACGCACCTCGTGGGGCCGTTGAATCTCCCAAAGACCAGTTTGAAGTATTCTACATTGATTACGGAAATCAAGAGGTTGTTCCTTACAGTCATTTACGGCCTATTGACCCTTCAGTGTCTGCTGCACCTGGTCTCGCTCAGCTCTGCAACCTTGCGTACATAAAGGTTCCGAGCGTGGAAGAAGATTTTGGTCAAGAAGCAGCTTTGTATTTGAGTGAGCAGACATTAAGCAAACCAACAGAGTTTAGGGCCATGGTGGAGGAAAGAGACGCTTCAGGAGGAAAAGCTAAAGGTCAGGGAACCGGGCCAATCATTAGCGTGACTCTTGTTGCTGTGGATGCTGAAATCAGTATAAATGCTGCCATGCTTCAGGTTTGAACTTTGGATGAAACCTTTTTTCTTGTTCAAGACATGATTACTAAATTCAAACGGCATGCAATGGGAATGGGACGCTTTGCAAAGGAAAAGAAAGAAATGATGAGGATTTTTAGCGTTTATTTAGCTATTAGGAAGTGCAATGGGAAACGTTCTAGTGCTCGCTAATTTTAGGAATAGAAATCCTAATAGCTCAATACTAAAATATTTTTGTGCATCTGATTGTAGATTAAAATTCAGTTAGGCTACTACAGTATTTTGTGGTTTAGTACTCCATTTCAAAGAGAGAAAAACTAGGAATAAACTAGGAATCGCTTTCCTCTTACCTCATCTCCTTACATCATGTGGGTCTCACCTCTTCATGTTGTAAGCAAACACATGAACGTGTGAGAAGGGAAAACATCATTCTCTTTCATTTTTCCATTTATAAGTGAACGTGTCCTTCGGTGTTTTCTATTGTAGTTAGTAGAGTATTTCTTTATTATTATTATTTTTTTGAAAATTAGTTAGTGGATTATTATTATGTTGTCATTATGATGCAATTTTTTTGTTTTTTTGTTTTTTTTTTGTGGTACTTTGCCTCTTCTTAAAATATTGTTTAATTTCTGAAATGTGAATCTCAATATTTGCAACTTTGAAATTTTCAGGAAGGGCTGGCTAGGTTAGAGAAAAGGAGGAGATGGGGTTCAAAGGACAAACAGTTGGCCTTTGAGAACTTGGAGAAGTTCCAGGAAGAAGCCCGGACCGATAGACGGGGGATGTGGTGCTATGGGGACGTCCAGTCCGACGACGAGGACACCGCTCCTCCAGTTAGGAAAGCTGCTGGCCGGCGGTGAATGCAACTTTTAGACGGTGGAGTTAAAAATTTAAACTTAGAGAAGAGGCAACCGTATGGCCTAAGGATGAGTGTAAGTTATAGCATAATTATTCGCATCTAGAGACATACAAAGGCACCCCGAGGAAAAAAAATAATAAAAAAAAAGGATGTTGAAGCATCGATTTGCTTTAAGTTTTGTTTTTGTTTGCGAATTTAAATTTATCTTTTTTAACAGAGAACAATTTTTTTCACTCGTTTTAATAAATGTGAGACAATTTTGTTTTCGTCCGACTGTGCCTGTTATTTTTTTTCTGTAAACTTATGAAGTTGGAGGTTCTATGTAATACGAGAAGAAACAAAAAATTAATTTAGTATTACTTCCGAGAATTCGCAATCGTTGGTAGGGATTGAGAAATGCAATAGTCAGGTCATTGTAAAAGTTTCCGTTCATTTTATCGATTCAAGTTTTGTTATAGTGAAAAGTTCTTTGAAACATTTATATTTAATTTTTTTATTATAGTAAAAAAATTTTACATAAAATTATATCTCAACTCGAATTAAAAATTTAAATTAACGAATTAAACGGGTCTTAACGAATTAAACGGGTCTTTTGAAATTTAGTAGAGGAAATTCTGTGTAATAGAACTTTACACAAATAGTGTCAATTCAGATAAATTAGGTGCAAAGCATTCTTGGGAGCCTCTTAAAAATGAAAATATTTTCCATAATGTTTTATCACGTGACAGGCTCTTGATTATTGCTTTTAAGTTTCTTAAGAACCAAACGCGCCAATAAAAATTTCTAATACTCTTTAAAAAACTTAATGACAAATCTTTACCATACCTATAATTAAAGCACAAAACGGCTATTGTTGGTATAACGCTATGAAAAGAACATTATGCTGTTACGCTAAAAATCTAGTAAGGCTAGGAGCTTCTGCCGGTGGACTACTAATTTGTGTGCAGTGTCGATTCTACTTCGTCTTTTGTTTTGTTTTTTTTTCATCTAAGTTTTATCTATTGTTCTCTCTTATTTAGAAGATCAAATTAAATAATATTTGAATTATATTTTAAAAGTGGTTTCCAAACCCGCAAAACTCACCCCATCAAAATAGGTGGTGCGGTCTAAATGTTAAGAAAAATAATAGAGTATAGCGATTAATTAGAACTTATTTGTCTACATCATAAAATTATTTTTTTAATAGACAATAAATATGACAATTAAATTCATGCCTTGTTGTAACTGGCATGTGCGATTTACTAGTTATGTTATAATTTCCTAAGGGAAAATGAAAAGAAAAAAAAAAGGAAAGATATAAGACTTAAAATGAGAGAAATAGAAAGAACACTCAAAATATATTAAGTCCTTGTTTGTTTTAACAACTCAAACTGTTGTTTAAGATTTAAACTTTAATTTAAGATTCAAACAGGTGTTTCGAAGAAAAAAATTCAAAGACAATTCAAACCATTAACAATAGTTCAAGAATAACTTAAATTGTTTATTTTAAAATTCACCTTCTCTTTAATTTCTAACAATCCGAAATGTTAACATTCTAATAGTTCTGATTATATTTTCTCTCTTCAATTTTAATATTAAAAATGTCATGTGTTTTTCATTTTAATTCTGATTGATAATTTTTTGAGATAAACAAATCCCCAACTATACTATATATTTTTAATATCATTTATAATGATATTTTATAAAATTTTAATGATAATTGTTAATATTTTATCTAAATACAGTTTAAATTTTATTCTCAATTTAAATTATAATTTATTTACATATTTAAATAACAGTTCGGATCCAAATTTATAATTTAAATCACCACAGTTCAAATTTTATACTTTTAATAAAAAGGTTCAAATCTCTACAAATCTCCATAATTTAAGTTATTTTTAAGTTGTTAAACCCAATAAGCCCCAAATAACCATAACTCTTCTTCACCCCTTCGACTTCTACTACTACTTAACGCAACATCCAAAGAAAGACGTAAATCCATAACCATAACTCTTCCTCATTTTACCCACAAAAAAAAAAAAAAAAAAAAAAAAAAAAAAAAAAAAATTTCTCACCCCCCCCCACCCCCCCCCCCACCCCCCAAAAAAAAAAAAAAAAAAAAAAAAAAAAAAAAACTCTTCCTAACCACCTTCGACCTCTCCTACTACTCCTAAGCGACCTCTAAAGAAAGACATGTTACAGATTTACAGCAATTGAAACGTCAAAATTAAGCTAACTATAATAATTTTCTAAATATATATATATATATATATATATTGCAAAGAGCTCAAGTAAAATTTGAAATAGTTCAATATCTATGATGTTCTTGATAGACACACACTATCAAAACTTTTTAAGTGGTCAAGTGAAACATTTTAAACTCTTTAAAAATTTAATAAACTTTGTGTATGCCATCATTTTTAATCTATTATACAGAAAATTCAAAAGGAAGATTAAATGTCAAACAGATATAAAAAAGAAAAAGAAAATAAAAAAGAGGAACCAAAGTTGTTAATCTGTTTTATTATTTGCTCCCAACATCATTATATACAATACAAGAAGCAAATAACAAAAATAAACCCCCCCAAAAAACAAAAATAAACTGCTCTTCATTACTTTTGCATCAAAAACAGGAAAAAAAAAAAAAAAAAAAACGACAAACAAAAAACTAGTAAAGAGCATATAGACACACAAGCTTTAATTATAGTAAAGCCTCAGTGATAGGGAGGAGGGAGAAGAGGCTCAACTCCAACATCCTTAAGAGTCACAGCTTTGAGGGGCAAATGTGCAAAAAAATCTCCTCTTGTCTCATCCTTAACAACATAGTTATGTTCCGGGTCTTGGATGTGGGCCACCCTCCTAAAAAACGACTTCTTGACGAACTCCTCGGCGTCCTCCAGGACGTGCTCCGGCTCCGCCACCTCCGGGATCGTCTCCCGCCGCTTCTTCTTCACGAACACGTTCGGCCCGTGCCGCAGCTGCAGCGTCGCCGAGTAGAGCCCTAACGTCGTCGACAGCGCGATCAGCCCCACCGCCACGTACACCGGCACGAAGTCGCCTTTGAATGGCAGCAGCTTGTGGCGGCGGAGGCGGTGGCTGCCGTCGCGGCCGAGGAGCTCGGCCGGGGCGGCGTACGCCTTCATCTTTGGCAGGGTTGCGGTGGCTAGGCCTCTTAGTCCTTTAGCCATGGATTTCAATTGTCCCTGCAGGGTCATCAAAATGGTATTATATTGAACAAATTTAAAGTGATCATAAAAAGAAAGACAAAGTGAAAATTGTTAATTACCAGAGATCTTTGTAAAAATGACTCAATCAGAAAATTTTATTAGTAAAATAATTTTTTTTAAATTTTTATTTACAAAATAACTACAAAACGATTAAGAATGATCACGTTTTAAAAAAAAAAAAAAAAAACGGGGGGTCGTTCTTTAAAAAAAATATAAAAAAAGTTATTAATTTTACTTTATTGAATATTCATTCTAACAAATTTCTCTAATTATCGTCTAAAAGAATGAAAAAAAAAAATTTGTTAATTTAACTGTAAAACAAAAGAGAATCTTTAATATTAATAGCAGGAGCTAGTAGTAAATTGGGATCAATTTAAGCTTATTTTAATTCTTTATTACAACTCAAAAAGATAAAAAAAAAAAAAGGAACTACTTGTGTTACTATCAGCTGATCGTATGAGTGAATTATTGCTTCATACAACGAGATTTAGGGGGTTAAAAAAAAAAAATCAAACTTAGTTTACAAATAATAAATCTAGACTCTTTCAATATTTGAGATTATAAGTTTTTGAGACTCTTATGAAATTAAAAAAAAAAAAAGGGAATTTGGTTGTACCATCAACAGCTAAAATCCTATGAAATTAAATATCATCAACTCATTCTCATCAGATATAACAAGAATTGAAAATTCATACGTACCATTGACCTGAAAGCCATGATATGATGATCTTGCAATATATCAGACGAAAGGTGTTGGTGTCACAGTCACAGTACCACTATGTGAAGGTTGGTATAACTTGGGAGAAACCGACTCCTAACTTCTTGTTTAATAATGCCTTTCTAATATACTTACTCTTGATTATTTATATCCATTAAGATAAGAATAAGAAAAAGAAAAAGGAAAAAAGAAATGAAATAAAAAAGAGAAGAAGAGAGGGGGTTCTGGAGACACGTAGCACAAAATAGAAGTTATTAGAATACATGTTTCATCAAGAGGGGGAACAGCAAGATCCTAGAAGTCTCAAGAAGTGGCACGTTTGTGTCTAATTGGGTTTTTTTTTTTATTTTTATTTTTTTATTATAATAGCTCTCACTTTCATCCTTATCCATTCCCTGAGCCCACCAGATACCAATGCCAAACTGGCTTTAGAAGAAAAAACACACTATTATCAGATCAGATTAAAAAAAATAAAATAAAAAACCCAAAAAGCAAAAACACTTTGGGATTCAGAAGCTGACTAGCTCAACAGGGAAATTCATATTTGAGATTCTTTAATACGTTTAATGTATTAATAGATTAAATTTTTTTAATAATTAAATTTTTATATTTTTTAATTTTTATATAATTTTATATAAATATAATAGATACCGATATATTAATATAACGAAAAAGATCTCTTTATTTTAACTTTTTAACTAATTTTTGTGAACTTTAAAATGTGACATCAATATATATAATAAATTATTCAGTACATCAAATGTACCGGGGCCGTATTATTTATGTAAGATATTTATTTAATAAAAATGTACTATTTGAACATTTTAATTATGTTAATTTTTTACTTTTATTTTTCTTTTTTTATAGATATTTACATTGATTATTGAGTAAAAAATATTTATTATTCTACTTTGTTTCTTTATTTTAATCTCTTAATTTAAAATTATTATTTTTATTATCTATTGATATATTGACGTATCGAAAAATGTCTTTTTATTTTAACTTTTTAGCTAATTTTTGTGAACTTCAAAATATGACATGAATACATATATATATATATATATAAATATAAAGAATTACTCATGTATCACGTTATATTATTTATGTGGTCTACTCGACTAATGAAAATGTACTATTTAGAAATTTTAACTATGTTAGTTTTTTACTTTTATTTTTCTATTTTTTAATAGGCATTTACATTAATTATTAAGTAAAAACACTTATTAGTCAACCTAATTTCTTTATTTTAATTACTTAACTTTAAATTATTATTTTTATTCCTAAATATTGTAATCAAATTTCTACCCGGTGTCCTGAATAATTCATTCATATATAGACGTCATGACAAAGGCACGTCCTCACTAATAATAGTTTTTATTGTACTTTGCAATTTTTACATGTTCTCTAAAATTAATTAAAATTTTTAAATATGGTAAAATACTGTTTCAATAAAAAAAAACTTGTCTTTAATTGTTTCTCTACAAATTATATAAGCATACTAATAATTCAACTTAATTCAACTTATAATTTAAGTGGACTTGAACCTGTATAACATGCCACGATGTGTTAATTGTTATAAATTTAAATAAATATTATAGCAAACTTATAACTATTTTTCAAATTAAAATGATAGCATAAAATTTTATAATAACAGTATAAAATTATTATAAACTTTTGAAATTTATCCTAAATAAAATGATGAATGTGTGAAAATCAACAATTTCAAATTATATATAATGATGAATGATGGATGAAATTTTTTTTTTTTGAAGAAATGGATGCATTTCCTCTTCTATAAATAGCATAGATCTAATCTAGTATCTAATTTAACAATACATAAAACCAAAAAGCAAAAACACTTTGGGATTCAGAAGCTCACTAGCTCAACAGGGACATTCATATTTGAGATTCTTTAATACGCTTAATGTATTAATAAATTAAGTTTTTTTAATCATTAAATTTATATATTTTTTGATTTTTATATAATTTTATACAAATATAATAGATACCGATATATTAATATAACGAAAAAGATCTCTTTATTTTAACTTTTTAATTAATTTTTGTGAACTTGAAAATGTGACATCAATATATATAAGAAACTATTCAGTATATTAAATGTACCACGTCGTATTATTTATGTAATATATTCATTTAATAAGAATGTACTATTTGAACATTTTAATTATATCAGCTTTTTATTTTTATTTTTTTCTTTTCTAATAGGTATTTACATTGATTATTAAGTCAAAAGTATTTATTATTCTACCCAATTTCTATATTTTAATCGTTTAACTTTAAATTATTATTTTTATTATCTATCAGTATGTAAGCGTACTGAAAAATGTCCTTTTATTTTAACTTTTTAGCTAATTTTTGTGAACTTCAAAATATGACATGAATATATATGAGGAATTATTCAGTATACTAAATGTACCACATTATTTTATTTATGTGGTATACCCGTTTAATGAGAATGTATTATTTATAGATTTTAAATTATGTCAGCTTTTTATTTTTATTTTTCTCCTTTATTATAGACATTTACATTGATTATTGAGTTAAAAACACTTATAATTTTACTCAGTTTCTTTATTTTAATTACTTAACTTTAATTATTATTTTATTCTTAAAATATTGTAATCAAATTTCTACCTGGTGTCCTGAATAATTCATTCATATATAGACGTCGTGACTAAGGCACGTCCTCACTAATAACAGTTTTTATTGTACTTTGCAATTTTTACTTGTTTTTTTAAAATTAATTAAAATTTTTAAATATGGTAAAATACTGTTTCAATAAAAAAAATTTCTGTAATTGTTTCTCTACAAATTAAATAAGCATACTAATAATTCAACTTATAATTTAAGTGGACTTGAACCTGCATAACATGTCAACAATGTGTTAATTGTTATAAATCTAAATAAATATTATAGCAAACTTATAACTATTTTTCAAATTAAAAAAAATGATAGCATAATATTTTATAATAACAGGATAAAATTAATATAAACCTTTGAAATTTATTTTATGTAGATGAATGTGTGAAAATCAACAATTTCATATTATATATAATGATGAATGATGGGTGAAAAAAAAAAGAAGAAGAAATAGATGTATTTTCTCTTCTATAAATATCATAGATATAATCTAGCATCTAATTTAACAATACATAAAAGAATTAAAAGTTCTTGAATAGTTCTCTCTCTTTAGATTGCCACATGGCAGCTTCTTCTTCTTCTTTTTTTTTTTCTTTTTTTTTCCTTCTTTATATTTTTATCTTTATTCTTTATTCTTTTAAATTATTTACTTGTTTATTTTTTTGTTTACGTAAATTTTTTTTTAAATAAAATTTCTCACTTTACTCCAATGAACTTTTTTTTTTTTTTTTTTGCATGTGTTTCTTTTTAATTTTTTTTTTCAATAGTTCAAATAATTTCTTCAAATGTGTTTGTACTTAATTGTTTTCGTGTAATTCCTGTTATATCAAAAGTTATCTTCACACACATTTTTCTTATAGTGCTCACTTAGAGCACTTTTCAGCATGCCATATGGTAGCTCTTCCACCCTCATTTTTTATTTTTTATTTTTAAATTTTTTATTTTACTTTTTTTTTTAATTTTATGAATGTTTTTCACAGTTTAATTATTTTTACATGTGTTTTGCTCTTTTCTGATATTGTTTTGGCTTTTCATGTTTTTCTTTTGTCTAAGGGCTATTTTATAGTTTAATCTTTTAACGACTATTTATATATCCAATCTAACGTTTAACATCTATAACAGTAACCAGGTCAACTTAAGAGGCCACGTGTTAGCCTCCTCCTCCTCCTTTTTTTTTTTCCTTCTCTTTATTAAAATTTTATGTTTTTCTTTTTTTTAATTTTATTTTTCTTTTCTTTTACCTATTGTCTTTTTTATTTTTCTCTTAATATTCTTCGATAATTTTTTTTACGATATGCTTATTTAAAATACTTTTTTTTAATTAAAATAATCCGTTCAAATATGTACCTACTTTTTTTAATAAAAAATTCCTATATAACTTTAATTTTTTTTTTCTTTTTTAACTTTTCCTCTCCTTATCTTTTTATTTTTTTTAAAACTTTTTTTCATTCTTTCTTCTTTTCATTTGCTTATTGACCTTTTTCTCTAACATTCTTTAACTGTTACATTTTTTTTTTAAATATACTTCTTTGAAATACTTTCTTTCTCTCAATTTATTTAACTAAAAGAATTCAGATTTAACTAAAAGAATTTCTTTTAAATGTCCGCATACTTAAGTTTTTTTTTTCTTAGTCAAAAACTCCTATATAATTTTAATATTTTTCAATATGATTTTTAAATTATTTTTTGTCTTGCTCTAATTAACTGACGTAATTTCTAAAAAGGCTACGTGTTTTGACAAGAAATCAAACTTATAAAGTTATTCCTCATGTATAAAGCACGTAGCTCAACTAGAATATAAAAAGAGCCAAACTCTCCTCTCCTGAGGTTGCCACATAGCAGTCCCTCACACTCCCATTTTTGTTTTCTTTTTTACTTTTACCCTTCTTTACTTTTTTTTTTCTTTATCTTGATTCTCTTTATATATATATATATATATCTTTAAATGTTTTGTTTTTTTTTTTCCTTTTATTTTGTGAATTTTTTTTTTCAATTTAATTTCTTACATGTATTTTTAAAAAATATATTTTCCCACTTTACTCATATGAAAATAATTTATTTCAGATGTGTATATTAAAAGAGCCAAACTCTCCTCTCCTAAGATTGCCACGGGCAACCCCTTTCACTCCCACTTTTTGTTTTACTTTTTTTACCCTTCTTTACTTTTTTCTTTATCTTCATTCTTTTTTATTTTTTTTAAATGTTTTGTTTTTGTTTTTATTTTGTGAATGTTTTTTTAGATTTTAATTTTTTACATTTGTTTTTTAAAAGTATATTTTTTTCACTTTATTAATATGAAAGTAATTTTTTTTGCATGTTCCTATTTATTTTTTTTGTCCATTAAAATAATTTTTTATCTGTTCTTACTTAATTGTTTTTCGTGAAATTCTCATCATATCAAAAACTACATTTACACTTATTTTTTTATACTAAATCGTCTTCTTTTAATTTATAATTATATAGATAACTTTTATTACTAAGTGTTTAAAATAAAAAAGAGTATTATTTTAACTAAAATTTTTAGAAACTTATTTTTAAAATATATTTAAAAATTCTTAAATAATTGTGTAAATAAATTTCTCATTATTCGATAAATACTTAATTTTGTAGGTGTCTTTAACACGACAATACATGTACGTTCTTAGAACTAGTATGTAATAAAGAAGTAAAGAGATTTATAATTTATTATGTTATGAAAGTAAACAAAATTTACTAGGTGAGGTGTTTAAAAAAGGAAATTTTAAAAAAAATACAAAAAACACAACTTGAAAACATCCAAGCAAGAAGTTGAAGAGAAGCCATAATAGCAATGATATGGACTAACCGGATTATAATAAGTAAATATTTTTAACCTTTCACGAAAACAAACGAGCTGGAGTAGCTCAGTTGGTTAGAGCGTGTGGCTGTTAACCACAAGGTCGAAGGTTCAAGCCCTTCCTCTAGCGTTCTTATCCTCTTCTATTAAAATTTTTTAAATTCACGTTTTCAGAAATTGCAAATTTTGTTCGTTTGTGAAAGAGAAAAAATGTTACAAAACTTTCACAAGATTTCAGTCCATCCTCTTCTTACACAGATTTCTTGCACATAAACAACGACAAAGAATGAAATTATATATAGCTAAGTTTTTTTTAAGGGAAACTTGTAGACATACGCTAAGCAACTTCAAAGCACCATAATCAATTCAATGCTTCAAAGCAACTTCCTTCATCTTATTGGCAATGCGTTTAGGATCTTTTTGATTCATGAGATTACATAATCCACAATAACAACAATTTGATGCTAAATATTTGAATTCTTCGAATAATTTTATTATTATTATTATTTTTATTTTTAATCAATTGACCTGAACTAAGCTTACAAAACCAAAAACATAAACCAAAGAATCAAAGTTATCATATCAGCATAACTCTCAGATGCAAAGTGCCAAAATCCACTTGGAAATTTATGACTTATAAAGGGGCAAAGACAAACAGTCAGTATGTACCCCTCCAAGAATGCCACTTCAATTTCAACTGGAACCACAAGGGGGGCAAGCCGAGGATCCCTTTTGCTAACCTTGGATCGAACACATCGAAATGCACCCGTCTCAGAGAGTCCAACAAAACTTGGGCAGGCACGGCTGGCAGCAGCACCGGACGAGCCTCAGCAGGCACGGTTCCTGCTAACCCTCGAGCCTTCTGAAGATGAACGTTAGCAATAGACGCCATGTCAAACACCGCATTGCGTAGGTTTTCCTGAGAATCCAATTGTATTTCTGATCGACCTCCTTGTTCAACTAGTAATCCATGCTTTTTACCTACCTCAATCGGTATATATGAAAAATGGCGGTTGCGGCTAGCATGGTAAGGCAGCGACTTGATTAGCAAAAGAAGGCCGCTTGCCTTACCAATATGTGATGCTGCGTGATCAGCTGCAGTGGACATGATACCGCCAGCTTGCAGCGTTGTGTAAAGAATAGTTGATACAGTATCTTCAGCATATCGCTCCAACTCTTCGATTTTTTCAGGGATTTCAGTGACCTCCCTCCTTGCATCATTGATCCGAGCTTGTACTAACCGTTTCAGCCAGCCCTTGGTGATTCTGTTCTCGTGTATCACTGAGGAGAGCGCCTGTGCCGTTGGGTGTTCGATTGTCTTTTTGTCGTAGATTTTGTCAATGGCTTCTTGCCACCAGACCAGGCGCATAAGACCAATCTTGGGGTCAGAAGCAACATCCATAGCTCTGGCTGTTTCGATGTTGAAGGTGCGGATTGCAAAAGCAGCCTTCCGCATGTTAGGAGGAAGCTCAAGAAGACAAAGGTAGTGGTGGTAATCATAGTTTCGCACTTGCTGTACGCAGTACGAGAATGCTGCCCGCAAGCTACTAGATTGGAAAGCACCATTCATTAAACTTCTACTGCACTTACAACTGCAAAAGAAGGAATTGGTTCAAGTAGGACTTAAAACTGTATGACTCTTAGACGGAAGAAGAAGATAACCAAACTTGAGAATTAGTCAAAACTCCAATGTGCACAAGGAGAAACACAGTAACATTGCAGTGAAACTAAGTTATTGGAATAAAAGTCTTCCCTAGATATTATTTAAACTTTGATTTAAAAAAAAAAAAAAAAAAAAAAAAAAACAGAGAAAGAAAGTAAGCATATTCCAGATTGAGGTGAAAAAATTTTAGAACCATGAACAAAATTCAAGTTATTCTACAAGTTAATAGGCTTATTTTGTCTGCGTACTCTCATCTAAATTTAAAGAAATCGTATCAATCTTACTGCTAAAATTTCAGCAAAATCCTTACTTTAAGTCTAGAACTATAACCAGAAGACAATGTCTCAAAAGGGTAAAACTTGAAGGAAAAGAAAATGCAATGAAGTTGTGCGATGAATATTAGCTTGCCAATATATTAGCGTAAAGGCAAAATTATTATTACTTATTATGCGCATAACAAAATCCTAAATTAGCTTATTAAAGCTCAAAGCCTCAAAATTTCTCCTCTTATTCACCACACAAAAGCAATAAAAGAATACCATCTTTCTCACATCAAACAGTACTAAGGCATGTTGGGTGTTTTTTTTTTTTTTCCACTCTATAGTATGGATATCCAATACTCAGAAAACGCCCACTAAGCATTCTAACCTATCCACGATGACCCGCATAATAAAAAGCAAATCTGTGTATCACTGTTAATCCTGATTACTCATATGCACATAAACAAAGCTCAAAATACATGCTTTTCTTTTATTCACCACACAAAAGCAATAAAGGAACACCATTTTTCTCACAGTAAATTGATCAAACAATACTAAGGCATTTCAGAGTCGGCTTCAGGGTAAAGCCATCAAGGCAATTACCGAAGCCGAAGGCCCGTTGTTATTAGGAAACTTTTAACTAATTAGCCATAACAGTCTCATTGGAATTAATCATATTAATTAGATATTTTTTTTTCAAAAATAAATCCCGGCCTCAGCTTGATCCATAATATTTGCAGAACTATTTTTTATTTCTAAGATAAATCTGATAACAAAATGAACTAGTATTCTCATGCCCCAGAACCTGAATCGATAATTAGTTGGGATCAATAAAATTAAAATAAAACCAAAATTCATATCAGATTTTTGGACTGAAAAAAGAGGTCTTTTATGGCTCATGCAAAACCAAGAAAGAAAGATATTCCATCAGTTTTCAGAACTAAGAAGAAAATCATCAAGGAAAAACTCAATAGGATCGTATATAAGAACTGAGATTTTCGGGATTTTAGGTTTTCTTTTTCCTTTCTTTTTGTAAAATCTGAATGAGAAGAGAGATTTCACATACTTACAATTGAAATCAAGAAGGAAATACCAATTCAATAGGGAAACTTCGGATGAAGATCATCCAAGAGAGAAAACACTACCTCAAAATTTTAAGATCTCTGCAACATTTCTCATTGCTCCAAAAAGGGGAAAAGGAGCAAAAAGGAGGGCGCAGGATGAAAAAAGGGAGAACTAAGGGGCCGAAATACAATATTCAGAACAATTCCTCAAATAAAATAAACGTTATTGATATTTTCAAACGTATAGTAGGAACTTTAATAGAAACTACGTAAGCATATTATTATAAATCACGCCCTCACATTTTTTTTACTGTATATTGTATGGTAAAATTCCTCAAATTCTAGTTTAGTCGCTTCATTTTGAATTGCTAAGTTTATCCTTCTTTCCTCTATCTTTTCTCTTTCCTAAGCAGGGTCTCTTGGGTCTTTCGTATGGAGATCGTAACGTGTTGACTCTGGCTGGCCGAAGGAGAAAGTGACGGGGCCCACTACTGCTCAGCTGCCACTCTTGTTGAACGCAATGCCATGCAGAAGATGCATGCAGTGGCGGGGCCGGAGATGCATGAGTCTCCCATGTTGGAGAGGAAGGTTGAGCTGCCAAGGAGGAGGAGAATAAGGCGCCTGAGCTAGAACTTGAACTGGAGCCGATGAAAGTGAGCGATGAAGAGAGGGAGAAGAAGGAGAGAAAAGCGCAGGCTTTGAAGGAGAAGGAGGCTAAGAATGTAGCTTACAATAAGAAGGATTTTGACACGGCGACTCAGAACTAAACAAAGGCCACTAAATTGGATGACGAGAAATTTCTTTCATCATGAACCGTGTCGCTACTTATTTAGAGATGCCACTTAATTTCTTATTTCTCTTTTTTTTTTAGAGATTTTTTAGTACGTCTGACGTATTGGTAGGTTAGATTTTTTTAACCGTTAAATCTGCGTACTTTTTAATTTTATACAAATATGATGGACATAATACTTGACCTACCGGTATATTTTCGTACCGAAAAAGGTCCTTTTTTTAGGGAAAATTATAAGCATATGAACTATTAAATTGAAAGCTTTTGTATATGCCATAAAAAAATTTTAAAAAAAAGCTTTTGTATAAATGGGCAATTATTTTGATACAATGTTTGTAAGGAATATTTTTCGGTGCGCCTACATATCGGTAGGTCAAGTTTTATATCTATTAAATTTATATAAAATCACGTAAAAATTAAAAATTATGTAGATCTGACGGTTAAAAAAAGCCTCTCTTACCGGTACTAAACGTGAGAATCTCCTTGTTTGTAATTCACAAGACAAGTTTTCCTTTTTTCCTACTTTATTTTTTGGTTTTTTGAGCTTTTGGCTTTGGTTACAGCTGTTATTTATCAATTGGCAATTATTTTTCATGTGATCTTTGTCATTCATTCTCTTTACCTCTGTTTGTTTTCCATTTTTAAGTCTTTTATGGTATTTTAGTACGAGGAATGTATTAAAAGACTACACTTTTTTTTTGTTTTATCTTTTTGTGGGAAAATTTTAAGCATGTGAGAACTAGTTAACTTTTATGCTATTACACCAATTGGTAATTGTTGTCATGTAATTTTAAGCATATGAATTATTTAACTCGTATGCTTTTACATCAATTCGTAAATTTTTTTTTTCTGTGATCTTGATCATTCATCCTATAGTATCTCCATTTGTAATCAAGTTTATATCTTTTTCTGGTATTTTAGTACGGGGAATGTATTAAAAACTGCGATAAGGCTGTCGAGATGATAGCTAAAGCTTTGACTAGAAAAGGAACTGCCTTGGTTAAATTGGCAAAGAGCTCAAAGGACTATGAACGCGGACCTTCCAAAATGCTCTCACAGAGCATCGCAATATGCATTCATTGAAGAAATTAATGGCTCGTTTAGTTCACTGATTTAAATTTTTAATTTAAATTAAGATGTGAGTTTTTTTAATAAAAAAGTTAGATGTGATTATTTTTAAGAATTTTTTATAATAATAAAACTTAAATTTTAAACTCGAATCGGTGAAATAAACGAGACCTAAATGATGATGAAGAAGCCAAAAAAGAAGCTTAGGGCAACAAGAGTATTGTGATCCCAAGTTGGTTGATGAGGAGCGCGAGAAACGTGTGTTTTCACTCACTAAATTCATCTAGAATCTCTTATTAACATCGTTTAGATTTTTGGAATCAACATGGTACTTTATCTTCCTTTTTCTCGTAGACCCATGTGAGCGTAGGACTCCTTAGTTCATCAAGTGTCGATTAAAATCCTGTTCATTTTACTGATTCGAGTTTAGAATTTAAATTTTATTACAGTAAAAAACTCTCAGAATATCTAACTTTTTTACTACAGTAAAAAACTCTCACATAAAATCGCATATCAACTTAAATTAAAAACTCAAATTAATAAATTAAACGGACTCTAAGAACTTATAGGGCGGTTGATGTTTCTGTTTGAACTTTGAACTGAATGTTTCCATGCTTCGGCATATTTCTCTGCTTCTCTTCACGTTTAAAAATCTGTAAATTGATTATTTGTTGCTGAATGTATTTTTGTTTTCTTTGGTTATTGTTATTTTTAAGGTGATATTTGTAAATTCCATGCTAAATACTGTTTTTGTGGGGGTGTGGACAGGTGTTGATTGATTTCCGAGAAAATCCAGAGGCTGCACAAGAGCACACAAAGAACCCAATGGTGATGAGCAAAATTCAGAAGCTGGTCAGTGCCGGAATTGTCCAGATTAGATGAAAATTCAAAGATGCAATTCATATGGACCGGGAAAAAAAAGAGCTTTTGCATGATTTAAGTTGTACTTTCTCAATGTGAATTTGAGTGATTAAAGTCCCGTTCATTTTACCGATTCGAGTTTAAAATTTGAGTTTTGTTATAGTAAAAAGTTTTCAGAAACAGTCACATCTAATTTTTTTATTACAGTAAAAAACCTTCATATAAAGTCACATCTCAACTCAAATTAAAAACATGAATTAATGAACTAAACGGTTATTGGAAGCTACTTTCACTTGAAAAATTTTGAATAAATTTTGAGTTTTCCTGCTTTTCATATTTATCAGTGATTCTGGTTTCAACTGTTGTTTTATACTCTCTCGTACTCATACAATTTTATAATCATTTGTTTCCTTCTACGAGGAGGTTGAGCTTGATCACTACTTGGATGCCATGTTCAACTATATTATAAACAAAAAAAAAAAAAAAAAAATTCAAAAAAAACGACCAAATCCTTTTTGAATAGGGGTCGATAATATTTTATTTTATTTTTAACTTAAATCTCAGTTTTGGACTGCGTACCCCACCTTCCGATAACAGTGGAAAATTGCTTCACGCTTACTATGAAATGACTATAGTCGAAACATCAAGCTTATTTTATTTTTTTGGTAAAATGGTTCGAGCTTATTTGGTATAGATAGATATCTTTCATTTTAAGGTGAAACCAATTAAAGTTTCATTCTTGAAAAGAATGTTCATTGTCACTTCTTTCCTTTTTCTTCAATTCACCCCCTAACCAACATTACATCCATTCTTTCCACTCTGCTTGAAAGTCCGAAAATTCTTTCCTAAGGTCGAGAAAGGCAAAATTGGAAGCGTTTATACAACCTTAAAAAGTACAGCCAACACATCTAAGATATATCAAGATGTGAGGCGTGAAGTATCTTAAAATGGGTTTTTGTTAAATATGTGTATCTATGCGTTTGCACCGTGGGCCTTGGCACCGTGGTGGGAACGCTTGCGTTTGCACCTAGAATCCAAGGTTCAAATTCCAGAAACAACCTCTTTTTCGGGGGGTAAGACTGCATGCATATGAGATTGAGTTTTCCCCCGAGCCTGTCATAGTACAGGAGCCTCTTTGACATTAGGGTCCGCCTTTTTATGTGTATCTGTGCGTTTGTATGTCATCAAACAATAGAAGACTACTGGCTATTCTTTTTAAATGAGGATATATTTGAGAGATTATTTTAACATAGACAAATTAAAAGATAAACACAAAAAGAGGAATAAATGAAATAATCAAAGTACAAAACCAGCTCGTTAAATATTATGCAACAGAAGTATGTCATGTGTAAAGATATACATATCTTTTTAAATACATGAACCAAAATGCATGTTTCAATCAAAACGCATCGAATATGAATTAATTATATGAACTTTGAAATTTCAACTGTATAAACTCACTTCGAAAATAACATGGTGTTAAGAAAATAACATGTTATTTTGAACGGCAAATCACATTTATGTATATAATATATGTACGTGTGTGAAAAATTTCAACTCTACTTTTTAATTAGAATGCTTCAAGTTGATGTTTTTCTATTCCATTCAAGAGCGAATATATCTCGTGACTTTGGGGATGCAAATCATCCCCAGCAACAAACTCATGCGAGACGCCCCCCAACCGAATCAAACTACAACCAGCATTTCTCTTAACCGCCCTCTTTGAATCCTTCCATCTCCTGATCCTCACCACATCGTCCCACTGCTCTGCACTCGCATAAACACCCGCCATGATCGAGTAAACCCCGCCATCCTCAGGCCTCAACTCCATCACACGCCCTGCGGCTTCCTCCGCAACCTCCACGTTCCCCGCATGCAGCCTGCAGCCTGCGAGCAGCCCGCCCCACACGTACACGTCACCCCACATCGGCATTGCCCTTATCATGTCCATCGCTTCATGTATCCGACCAGCTCGACCGAGCAAATCGGCCATGCATCCATAGTGTTTGAGCTCTTTTGGAACCATGTAGCAGCGTTCCATGTCATAGAAAAGCTCCTGGGCTTGTTCCACCAGCCCTGAATGGCTGCACCCCACCAGCACCCCTAGAAAGGTGACCCCATCTGGCTTGATTCCTTCCTTTGTCATTCTCCGAAAGTAGGAGAGCGATAACTCGCCAAGACCGTGCATGGCAAACCCGACAATCATGGCATTCCATGCGCACAAACTCTTCTCCGACGATGCTCTCGTGTCGAATATTTCTTTAGCTATGTCAATGCACCCGCATTTTGCGTAGAAGTCCACCAACCCGGTCGTCAAGAAGGGATTTAGACGAATGCCGTTTCTTTTTATGTACTCGTGGACGTCTCTACCCCGGTCTAAGTCCCCGAGCTTAGCGCATGCAGAGAGAGCGGCGACCAAAGCGACACTATCAGGAATAAAACCTAGCTTCACCATCTCGTGAAAGAGCGAAATCGCCTCGTCGCAGTTTTTACTCTGCGAATAACCGGCTATGATTGTTCCCCAAGAAACCGAATCTCTCTCAAGCATTTCGTCGAACAGTTGACGGGCACTCGTAATGTCGCCGGATTTCACATGATGGTCAATCAGAATATTGTAGGAGACGACGTCCCTGTGAGGACGACCCTGATCAAAAACTCGAAGGGCAGAAGGGCTGCACCCAGAAAGAGCATAGACGCGAATGAGAGAATTAAGAACGAAAGAATCGTCGCTGAAGCCAGTTTTGAGAGCTTGGGAGTGAAGAGCTTGTGAAAAGGGAAGGGAAAATGTGGGGTCCAGTTTAGCGCAGGCGGCGAGGGCGAAGGGGAAGGTGTGGGAGTCGGGAGGCAGGGCGAGGCGCCGCATGCGCGCAAAGAAGACGAGAGGAGAGAGAGAGGAGGGAGAGGGGAGAGAGAGGATAGTGTGGGCTCTTATAACGTTGTTGAAAGTGAAAGTAGTTGGGTTCCTGACGAGGTTGAAAAGAGAAACCGCGTAGGTCAACGACCGAATTGACCTGCCACGTGTACGGTCGAGATTGAGCGACGAAATAAGAAGGGATATGAGAGTGTGGAGGAAGGCGTTGAGGAAGACGTCGTCGTTTCGGCCAGAGACTAGGCAGTGGGCGTGGAGTTGGTGGAGGTGGTTTAGGGTCTTGCAATGGCTTGATATGACTTGGGTGGTGTTTTTTATTTTGGTTCTGCTTCCAATATTGTGTTTGTTGTTCATGCAAGTGGCTTTGATCAAGATTGATAAGAAGTGGCCTTTTGCTTTCGGCATTTGGCCTTTGGGTGATGAGATAATGGCGGTGGTGCTATAAACTGAACTTGTCTCAGCCCAAGAAATGAATGAAAGAAGAAGTAATAAAAAGAACTAGTCAAACTAGACACGTGTATGGTTAACTTAGGATTGAGGAACGGAATTTGTTTGATGTCGTTTTTGTTGTGAATGAAAAGGATGAGAGGAAGATAGAGTTTGGAGGTCGTTTAGGGATTTGTTTGTTATCACCTGTTTGGTCGTTTGTTTGTTTGTGTATGTTTTTGTTTTTTGTTTTTTTTTAATTAAAGAAAAAAAGAGAAGACTATCAGTATGAAGTATCCTTTTCACTTGGCTGTTTCCGTCATTGCTGTATTTTTACTTGGCTGGATGAGATTCCAGTCTGCGTAAATTCAGCTGTTATAGCTGATTTTTCAGTTACATGATAAGCACAACCATTTTTCTTTAATATATATATATATATATATATATATTTCTTTCCTATTAGTGAGCATAGAGTGGAAGTGAATTGGTTGGAAGGTAACGTAATGCCCCGCCTTACGGGCTCCCGTAGTAGCTGATTTTTCAGTTACATGATAAGCACAACCATTTTTCTTTAATATATATATATATATATATATATTTCTTTCCTATTAGTGAGCATAGAGTGGAAGTGAATTGGTTGGAAGGTAACGTAATGCCCCGCCTTACGGGCTCCCGTAGATTCATGTATGTACTGCCTACGAGGGCTGCCTTTTTCTCTGTCTCACCTCTCGTAAGGTATGGTTGTTCTTTTTTTGTTCTTATTTCTTATAGTCTGACTTGAAAGTACCTTTATAGAAGCTTTTTTCTTATCTTATTAGACTCTTTTAGGTGATTTTTTTAAGTTGTTCTTTTAGAGTGTAATTTTTGAGTTGAATTTGAGTTATAACTCGAGTTGAAGTTGTAACTTGAATAAAGTTGAGTAAAATTGAACAAAGTTGAAACTTAAAAGAACGTGAACTTTAATAAAGTTAGAACTTGAATTGTCTTTTTTAGATTTTTTTAGACAAAACAACATGACATTTATTTTCTGTGATTAATTTACTGAAGTGAGTGGTTCACAGGGTGGACCACGAAACGTAGTTCAGTAAGGTTGGTCGGGAACGTACTCTCTTGGGAGCTCTCTCGTCGTACCAAAACGGAATTTGTTTGAGTGATTTAACTTAGGATTGAGGAACGGAATTTGTTTGATGTCGTTTTTGTTGTGAATGAAAAGGATAAAAGGAAGATTGGAGGCTAAAGACTAAAGAGATGGGCGCGGAGTTTGCTATCACCTGTTTGCTCGTTTGTTTGTTTGTGTCATTGTGTGTTTTTGCGCTTTTTTTTGTTTTTGTTTTTTTGTTTTTTTAATTAAAGTATGAAGTATCCTTTTCACTTGGCTGTTTCTGTCATTGCTGTAATTTTACTTTGCTGGATGAGATTCCAGTCCGCGTAAATTCAGCTGTTATAGCTGATTTTTTACTTACACATGATATGCACAACTATTTTTCCTTCAAATATATATAGACAGTTTCTTTTGTATGATGAGAAAAATGAATGTATCGGTAATTTTATATTTTTTTAACCGTTTTTAGCTGTTAGATATGTATTAAAAATTGACTATTTTGTATATTTTTCAATTTTAATTGATTTTGATTAATTCTAACGGTCAGAAAATTAATCCTATTAGTAAGACTGCCTACCAAAGAAAGTCTCATATACATATGGAAGAGTTTTCAATAGTTACGTTTTCAATGTGGTTACTTCTAAATATGAAATTTTGATGAACGTTATAAGAATCTAGTTTCATTAATTGTCATTAAGTTTTTTCGTCAACTATCAAATTTATTACAAACATCATATCTAGATTTTACGGTTAAAATGACGATACTTATTGATGAGTAAATATCCTTTTAGAAAATCTTTTTTAGTATCTCGGAGCTATTTTTTGGGACACGAAAAGATAAAATTACCCTTATTGTAAAAATTTATCTCGGTGACTGATTCTGAACCAGAATCATCTGAGTCCTCAGACAGCTCATCCGAAACGGGTTCTATCTCAAAGGAATCCGAAGAAGCAGAAGACACCATGGACATCACACGAACAAGGTTCAACGAACAAGGACACATCTTCATCAGATTACACCTCCATTTGCAATGACTAAAGTCCCTCCCAGCTTAGCTGTCCTTTCTGTACAGTAACTTTTGTTTTAAGTCAAAAGTGTAATAGTAGTCTGTCTGTCACTTCACCGAAAGTGGTTGAAGGAAAAGAAAAAAGGATTTTAAAAATTATTATACCTGTAGAGCATAAACCATTTTTAAAAATTCATCTCTTCAAATCCTTTTTCAAATTTTTTTTTTTTTTTTTTTCAAAACTCTAGTCAACATATGAATTTTTACAATAAGGGTTATTTTGTCTTTTGGTGTCACAAAAATGGCTACAAAGTACCAAATTTTTTTGTTAAAAGTCGAGTTACCGGTGTAAAATTTTAAAAAAACTTAAGTTATCAAACTCAAATTTCGATATAACAGAGAGTATCAAAATGAAAATTTTCCTTTTTTTTTTTTTTTTTTTTTTTTTTTTTTTTTTTTTTTTTTTTTTTTTTTGTTTGCTCAAGCTAATGTCTTTGTTAAGGATGCTTGCTGGCATTTATTTGTTTTTATGAGTCTCGTTGGTTTTATAAGGTTGTAACAACGCCAACCCAGTCAAACTAGTAAAAAATAAAAATGCTCTAATCCTCTTGGAACAAAATTTTTATATTTATTATTAGAATAATGTTACGTAGTAATTACTAATTATTACTAACTTCTTTTTTTTTTTTTTTGGCTGAAATAATTATAACAAACTTTGAATATTGATTCAAACATTATGAATATATACATATATGTCATTAACAAATTATATTCTAGCAATAAATATTCAACACATTATTATTCTTTTTCTCAAAAAAATAAATAAAATTACCATAAAACGTGAACGGCAGGATTCGAACCTGCGCGGGCAGAGCCCACATGATTTCTAGTCATGCCCGATAACCACTCCGGCACGTCCACTGAACGATTTGGTGATCAAATTATTTTAATATACTTTCTAATATTAGAAAATTTGTCTCATTTCTCCTTACACACGTCTGACACGCACTTTGCATAGTCAGAAAGAGTTGGTATTGCGTTGAAGCTGTAATACTACTAATTAAGGTCACATATGTTTGTTTTTCTCAAATGTGATTTATATTGGGCCGTTCACTTTGTTGATTCGAGTTTATAATTCGAGTTGAGATGTGATTTTATATGAGAATTTTTTATTGTAGCAAAAAAATTAAATATGACTGTTTCTGATAACTTTTTATTGTAGTAAAACTCATATTCTAAAATCGAATCGGTGAACTAAACGGGGTTAGCTTTTTATCGTTACGCATGAAGACATGCCAAAAGGTGCATGGCATACAACATCTAAAGCATGTAAGATGAAAATCTTTGGATTTCATATCATATCCCACTACGTACAAACAAACAAATATTCTTTTTGTGCATTGCACTGGGACCAAGACTAGGACAATAATTTGTCTTGATCAATCCCATGGTTGCACTAAACAATATAAACTCCTTTTTTATCCAAAAAAAAAAAAAAAAGGCAAAAGGAAGGGTTTGAAGAACATAACATGACAAAATACATGTACATTATCCTTAATGAGTTGTATATATTTCTCACAAAAAGGACTTGGAATGTGGAGAGAAGTGGAATGAAGCTTGTAGCTTAATTCCAAAGCTAATCCTAAAAGCTACTATAGTGGAGAAATCGATACAAAATGGGGGTATGAATTATAGGAATAATATTACTTTTAGAGAGTTGGTATTCAAATATGCCATTTCTACAGAAGAATCTGAACCTAATTTCTACGTAAAAAATGAATAAAAAGATTTCATAAGTGACACTGAGCTTAATTTACAGATAAAATGAGTCTTATTAAGCCCTACAAAAATATTATAAAATTTATTGCGTCAATAAGTTGTCAGTAAATGAGTGAAGTGACTGCACACTTAAAACCGCAAATAATAGTGCTTAAAATTTATAACCATACATCAATGGAAATTAGAAAAAAAAAAAAAAAAAGGAGTGACACCTTTGTTTTCTTATCACATTAATCAAGTACTTTAAGATTAAGTTGTTTTCATCACTTATCAGTTTAGGTTGTCTGAATTATAAAGTACAAGGTCTTACCAATTCTTTGTTTTTTATACGGTTTGTCCACAATTAGCTTAATTAACTCTCTCTCACTAATCAAGATTAGTGGGTTTTTTCTTTTTGGATATAGGATTAGTGGGGTTTAGAGAGAATCTCACAAGCATTTCTACTGAGGGAAGGAAGTGGAGGGTGCAGATAGTTTATGCTCTATAAAAGCAGAATGTCCAGATCTACTTCCATATTCTCTCCTAAACCTCCTTCATTAGACTACTTTTAATTACCCTTTTCTCATAATTATTTAATCATTCCATTTTTTCCCAAGGAGCTCCTCAAACATGTTATCTCATGATTTCCCACGCATCCATTTTATTATTAAGTATCGTTCATTTCACCGATTCAAGTTTTCAGTTCTAAATTTCTGCAGTTAAAAACTCTCAAAAAATATCACATATAACTTTTTATGTTACAATTTAAGCTCTCAGAAAATGTCACATCTCAGCTCGAATTAGGGAACGAGACCTTAGTTTTCCATGCTTTTTTCCACATGGAATGACCAGGCAGATTCTTTGTCTCTTTCTCTCTCCCAATAGAGTAGGATAATAATCCTGATTTATGGCAAATCAGAGGAATAAATTATATTCTTAGTGGGAGAGATGCATTTGCCCAATAAGGAGAATAATGTTTAGGAGGGGACCATATACAAAATGTGATCCTTTTAATTTATGCTGATCTGTTATCTTTTGTCCTCTCTTCTTCCTTCTTTTTCTTAAATTTTTTTTTTTTAAAATAAAAGATGGGTGCCACTAGTCACCTCCATGGGAGGTCCATAAATATCAAGGAACATTAGAAAAACCCTTGTCACTGCTTCAAAAAACTAAAGCCTTATAATCTTGTGTTGTTTTTTAACATCTTAATAGCTATTATAATTCTCCAAGAATGATGTGCAAGAAAAAGAAGAAGAAATGTGACTCTCCTTCAAGGACAAAGAATGACACACTCTTCCTCTTCTTCCTTCTCTAGTGGATGTGAGTGAGGAAAAGAGAAAAAAAAAACAAAAGGCAAGTCATAGAGGCAAAGGGAAGGCAACGCCTTTCTTCCGGTTTTTTTTTTTTTTTTTTTTTTTTTTTTTTTTTTTTTTTTTTTAATATTCCTGTATGTAATTACTAGTTTTAAGTTGTGCCATTGAAAAAGACGTCTTTTACTATGTCACAGCTGTTGTTAGTGTAACACTCATGTTTGTTGTTAGTTTCTCAAAAACTAAAGCAGCATCAAAGAACTTTGATAATGTGATATTGGATGCTAAATAACACACACTGCCCAAGTGGCATGATCATTCCATTTTTCTTCCAGACTATAATGGAAATATTGTGCTAGTCACTAGCTAGTGCAAAAATACTTGTTTGTTTTCTTTTTCTTCTATTTTTCTTTTCCTCCCCTCGTTTAGGGGCTCCGGCGAAGAGCTCTGCCTTTCATTTCGCAGCCGTCCACGGGGATTTTAAGGGCATCAAGTTGGGAAGTCTGGCCTTTAGGTTATCCCGCGTTCTCTTTAGGAGTACGAAAATCAAGTAAAATTTGCACGTCTCAAAGTATGGGAATGTTAAGGGTAACAAAAATACAACCTCAAATCAATAAGTTGTCGGATTAGCTAATACGATCACACCGTAGAGCTACTGATGTTCTTGAACTCCCCCACTAGTATCTGCGCGATTAATGTGTCCTTTTTTTTTTTTTTGGGGTAAAATTACAAGAAAATCAAGAAATGAACTCAAATTAACAAAGCAACAGAAGCACATTCTTGGATCACTTTATTATGGCTTAGACTGAAGTTGACAAGTCATATTTATTTGTCTCAAAATTTCATGAATTTATATAAGTGCTGTAATTTCTCAAAATGTTTCTGGTCAAGACACAAGATTTATTTTCTAGAAGCCAACCGTAGTCAGTACATCACAATAGAATGGTCAAACGAATAGAAGAAAATGTTGCACATACTAGAGTATTAAAGTGCACTAGGCATTACCGTAATGTCTTTTGACCAAAGAAATATATATATATATATATATATATATAAAATTTTTTTTTTAGTTTCTTCCAATTAAGCATCTAATTGCAAGTTGCTTGGATGAGGTCGAGCAGTTATGAGCTCAAATCAATTTTGGAGATGCGCTAGTCGTCTAAAATACAAAAATTCTACGTCCATAAAGTCCGTCACTTTTCTTTTTCTTCTGGGATGTTTGGTTCATGAATTCAAAACCATAATTCAAAACTATTCTCATTTTACGTGTATTTTTTATGAAAAAAAATACTGTAACGAACCACAAACCATGATTCGAACCATGACATGAATCTCTCTACTAAACGCCCTCAAGGTCAAGCGAAATAAGAGTAAATTAGGTAATTATGCTACCAAAATCCAACAACCTTACATTTATACCATCTTTATTAACTTTTTTTGTTTTAAATATTTATTTTAGTCAAAATACTCTCTAAAGATGCCCGACCATCTTTTGTTGAGAACAAAAAAAATAATCTCGTCAAGATTTTTTTCTCTAATAAATTGAGTGACATAGATGTAGAATTTGTGATTGGGTGACATAAATGTAAAAGATCACTATCTTTAAAAGTAACATTTCTGTATTTCACCCGAATGATAATAGTTATATCCCCACAAAGGCATCATATTCCCATTACAGAAAAAGCAAAACCACAATAAGAGAATGACTTTAGCACTCACCATGTACAGGTACAGCCACGCGTCCATGTAAACTCTGGATGGTCAAAAGTATTGCCCGGATTCTCACCAGACAGATATAAGACCAAAAACAATTTATAATCATGTAGGCCAGAAAATAATTCAGACAACGAATAAACCTATTTGATGAAAGCTATAGTTGTTGCTATATATAAATATTTTTCTCTGGACAGGATAACATATATAGTCTCATCGTCGGACAAATTCAGAGGTCAGCAATACTCCAAAACTTGCGTGCACTGTGATCCTGATGACAGCAATGATATTTGAAAAATAATGTATCTCTAGAATATCTTAATCATTCAAGACATTGTACCAAATGTATAAGAGAAGGGATATAACTAAACCTATAGCCTTTTGTTAGTTCTCTCATCTTTTTCTTTTTTTTTTTTTTTTTTCTTTTTTTTTCCCTCACTCCAAAATGTGCCAAAACTTTGGTTTCTCAACATTTGAGTCAAATAAGCATAGAGAAAAATGTTACAAAATCAAGCGCCCCATACCATTTGGGGGAGAATAACCGTCTATTATAAGTCCGCAATTATGATATCTACTTGACTACCAATCTTTATTAACCCTCATCTTCTTATCATCATCATCAACAGCTACCATTTCAGCTGCAAGATCATCTTCATCAATTTCAAAGTTGATTGACGCTTACCCTAATCAAGATCTAAACTCTTCTTCATGGTTTCATAGACCAAATATGTAATGCTTGCAGCTGGCACAACTTTGAGAAGATTCGGGAAGAGTCCTTTATAGAAACCTCTATAACCTTCCTCCCGGAGGGTTCTCCAAAACACATCAGCCATTCCCTTATAAGCATCCGCGCTACTAGATTGTTGAGCTTGCATTCTGAAAAGGAAGAATTAACAAACCTCAATAGGGAAGAAAAGATGTTTCTATGCGAACACAAAGGCCAAAGCACAGCAGCAAGACTTACAACCATCCGTCTACTTGGTTTATCTTTCAAAAAAATAAAATAAATATGGACAACAAACATAATACCTGGTTCTGATAACCTGCAATGGATAAACACAAGTTGCTCCGGCAGCTCCAGATATGGTCCCACAACCCAGTTGGAAAAGCGGGCCAGGTTCTGTAAAATTATATGCATAATAAGAGTTAATGGATAAATTCAGTAGGACGCACAGATGGTACATTACAAAGAGAAATATGAAAGCCGAACACCGCTGTACCACTACTATTATGAAGAATGTACGTCTTTGACATGTCTTTCAAGGTCTCATAGGCTGCAAGATCAATGCCAGCATAGGGGATCATCCCAAGAAGGGATGGTAGAAGACCTTTGTAAAAAGCCCGAGGTCCCTCTTGAACCCATATATCCTTTGTAAGTTTTGTCAGTTTAGGAACCTTTCCACCTTCACAAGCATAAGTCTGTAACCTTGTTTTCACGAGATCCAACGGATAGATAGCAGTTTGTGCCACTGCACCAGCCATACCACCAGCCAAGAGTCTTCCAGTAGCACCAATATCACCCTTGTCTCCCCCCTTAAAATCGCCAATCACACTTTTCAACATTTCGTAGACATAGAACTTGATGGCGCTTTCAGGTGCTACCTTCACAACATTTATGCCGTTACCTCTAAAGAAACCTAAGAAACCGCCTTCCTTCAATATCTTCTTTATGGCTGGCCCAATATGTGCATTTGTTTTCTGAACTTGCAAAATCACCTTCAAACGATCCAGAGGTGCAGTTGCCGTTCGAGAGGCGGCTCCTGCAATCCCCCCTGCAATAAAATATCTGCTTCTGTGAACATGCTTAGCGATGCCTTCTGGAATAACAGCATGTTCCCCAATATCTACGAGGCATACCCTTTCCCAGTGATGGTATATGTTTTCGATAGTTGCTTCATGTGGATAAAGTAGAAGAAAATCCCTCCATTCCTCAAATGTGATAATGCCATTATTATCCTTATCAACATGCTCCACAAAACGAGCAAGCTCCTCATCATCCATCTGAATCCCTACAAACCAGAAACTGCTAAAGCTTATAAGATGAAAATAAGTGGTAAACTGGGCAATTAAAATGCTTGCACTATAAGTAAGAAATATAAAAGAAAATGGCAACATAAAATTCAAATGAATAAACAATAATTCCTATACTATGTTCAACTTACAAGGCAGCGTGAATATAAATCTATTCCATGCTCCCAAAGAACTTCACAAACTCTGGACATGAAGGATTTCAAGGAGAAAAATTTTGAAATTAGAAGTTTGGGTTCTCAAAAACATGCATGACCGGGAAATAGGAAGAGGGCATGTTACTTAAAGCTGATGAACTAACCGGAATGAGAATAATGAGTGAAAGAAGAAATTTGTAAGTTTCAGAGCAGAAGTCAATCAGGAAATAGCTAATATATGCTTTTTGTGAGACGAAGGAAGTCATTAAATTTTATACATCAACCTAGAACATTCCTACCAACAACGGTACTAAAACCTTTACTTGATCTCACAGTTCGTACTAGATCTCTCATTGATCTCACAAAACTATTTTGACACCAAAAATGTCCGACTAACTAGAACTTGAGCGCTCAAAAACTTACCTCTAGGCTCTAGACAGAATTATGCATATGCTTTGTGAAAATTAATAGAACCAAATAAACAAATCGTGATGCCACCATCAGAATTAGGCAAAAACCAACCCAATTTCACGTAAAGATGTTGATGAAATCGCACCAATAAATCCCTAGACTCTTTGCATCTTCAAATACCTAATCAAAATCTTCCTAAATTTGTTGATCATAAATTTGTCAATAAAGATAGAGCAAAATTTCCCAAGTCATCCTAAATTTCTTATCAATGCTAGAACAAAATTCGCAAAGTCATCGTAAATTCATAATCAATGCTAGAATCATCAACCACATTGCCCAAAAAATAATAAAAAATAAATTGGTCCCTGAATTTGCATTTATACCTTCCTCAAAGATTCAAAACCTAATCAAAATCTGGACTCTGAAAGCGATAATCAAGAACGAATAAGACAACATAAATAGCGTATCGATGCTAGAACCATAAATTATATTGCCAAAGAAAAGAAAAATCCCAAATTAACCCCTAATTTTGCATCCATGCCCTCATAAAAAAACCTAATCATCAAAATCTAATATCCGAAACCGATAATCAAGAACAGCTAGTGCAAAAATCAATCCGTAAAAATGTCAAAAGAAGAGAAGTACCAGCCTTGACAAGCGCGTCCCAGAGCTCCTCGGGCAATATACAGCCATTGTGCTCGACATCAATGGCCTGGAAAATCCGGTACAGCTCCAGCTCCTTGGCGTCCATGTACCGGCGAAACTCGCAGTAATCAACTCGGCCGTCTCGGTTGGCGTCGCAGACTCTGAACAGGTCGCGCGCGTACTTGTACTCTCCCGGAATCTGGAGCGCCGACAGGCCGGCCTCGATCTGCGCGTAGTCGAGGTATCCGAGGTTGGTGGCGTCGAAGAATCCGAAGAGGCTGCGGATGCGGAGGTCGCGCTCCTCCTTGGTCTCCCGGAGGGCGAGGAGGACGTGATCCATCGTCGCCGGACCTGGTTTCTTCACGGGGTTGCAGCAGCCGTCGCCAGCGCCGGCGGAGGAGGAGGGTGATTTGGGCTTGGGCTTGGGCTCCATCTTCGGGAAGCCGCCCACGTGCTCGACGGCTGGCCCAGGCCCGGACATGGAAGAAGAATAGCAGGGGACGAGAATGAAAAGGAAATTCTGGTGTGTGGGTTTGATTATAAATAACTGACAATGATAAGAATAATAATAACCCAAATGTGGAAGAAGGAAGAAGAAGTAGAAGAAGAAGAATGATTCAAGAGGAAGGAAGGAAGGATATTCTTCTTCTTCTTTTTTCTTTAATTTATTTATTATTATTATTATTATTATTATTATTATTATTTGAGTTTTAATTTTTTTCTGTATGAGTTGTGGAGTTGTGACTTGTGAATGGCTTGTGTATATGAGTTGTGGTTATGAATGGAGAGTGGGCGCGTGGGCTGGGCCGTGGACCTTTGTATATCTGTCTGTCCCGCTTTCCAACGTGATCGTTGGGGAGAGTAATGGGGTTGAAAATTCCTCACAAATTTTTTTTTTTTCCCTAAGAGAGAAAATTCATTACAATTCCATAAAAAATAATTCATCGTAATTGCTTTAGTGCGTTTAGATTCATTTTATGATTCGAATCATAGTTCATAGTTTATTATAGTATTTTTTCTCACAAAAAACACACGTAAATTAAAAATAAATTTAAATCATGATTTTGAATCTATGAACTAAACGTCTACTTATTTAATTAATTTTTGACACCTCAGTTGAAGGATCCGTTTGAATTTAAATTATTTGTGTGATAAAAAATACTGTAACAAAATTTAAATCATGTTGAGATTAACACTATTCACCCAGCATTACAATTTTAATCATAACATGTGGATCACATGTTTTTTATGCTCATTTAAACATTTAATGGAATCATATTTGAGGACCACAAATGGTCCATGAAAAAGCTTTGAGACCTCTCATAGAAATAAAGAAATATAGTAATAAAACAAAACATTCATACCTCTCAGCCAAAAAAAAGAATTACAAAAAAGGAGATGATTGGAAAAACAAAATCACAAAAAAGAAAAAAAGAAAAAGAAAAAAAAGAGTGTTTAGAACCTGAGATTGCTTTTAGATTGATGTCAAGAATCTATCAATATATAAGAAATATTAATTTTGAGTCCTGTTCCGATCTCAATCAAAACGGTACCGTTTTTGTCGAAACCTTTCTTCTTTTTTTCCCCTCAAGCTCATTTACTTTTGTTTTTTTTTACCTTAAAACTTATTTATTTTCTCATTTTTATTTTTATTTTTTTTGCTTTGAAACTTAATTGTTTCCATTTTAGTACCTTTTTGACATTTTTTTTTATTTTTGCCTTAAAATTTTATTTTTTGTTCACTTAAATTCTTGTTCCTCCAGACTTATTTATTTCTTTGTTTTGGTTCTTTTTTTGACTCATTCTTTTACTTTTTCCTACTTTAGTTTTTTTTTTTGTCTATTTTGTCCCAAAACTTATATAATTCTTGATCTTTGTCCTTTTCTGACCCAAAACCTCGATTTTTTCTTTTATTGCTGCCCTCACACTATATTTTTTCATTTGATCCTTTTTTACTTTTTTTTTTTAATTTTTGCTCTGAAACTTTATTTTTTTCATTTTAGTTCCTTTTGCCATGAAATTATTTATCCTTTTGTTTTGATAAATAGTACCATCACCGAATAAATTTAAATCATTTTTAAAATATTCAATTGTTTTAATATTTACACTAGCATTATCTAATGTTATAGCCATCATTTTATCCCTTAATCTATATTCATCAATTACATTTAAAATTATATTATATATTAATCTATATTTTCACTTCACTGCATCATACAAAATAATTCATTCATTTTTTCAACAGCGAAATTTGATGAAGATGTGACGATTTAGATCTTTATATTTTGTAACTCTATACCATCAGATCATAGATAATTACTAAAATATATAAACGAAACTTCATAGAAATCTGATACATTAGAACAATGCAGTACATGTAGGTGTAGCCCATATAGGGTATGTATGCCCAACCAAAGAATTCTCTGACTTTGTATTTACAAACACAGTCTCTTTCCTTTTTCCAAATTAACAATTTGTATACAATTGTGAAATGAAATGGGCTTCCAACCAAATCTTATCCCATAAACTATAATAGGCGCATTTGAAACTCGTTCTAAAATGATTTTATTTTTTTTGTAAATAGAAATGAAAACGTTTTTAATCTCAGACAGAAAAAATTTTTAAAAATGTGTTTGGTATTTTTATCAAGAGATTATTTTCAGTGTGAAAAAACCCATTGATGTCTCTCTTTCTCTCTCTCTCTGTTCGAGAGAGGAGAAAACGAAAACAAAAAATAAAAAACGACTAAAAGTCGTTTTTCATTTATCTCATTTTATATTAAACTAAAAAATCGTTTTTATTTCTTTTTTTGTCTTTATTGCGCCAAATGCCATTTTAAAAATATTTTTATTTTTTCTTTCTTAAAAATGTGAAAAATAAAAACGATATCAATTCTAAACACGACTAATATGTTTTTGTTTTTTTGTTGGAATAAAAAAAACAAAAAAACAAAAAAAACATCCGAAGTGTCTTCACACCCCAATTCAGCGTTATTAGAAGAGTCTATTGGAGTCACCGGTGATAGTTTAGTGGCCCAAAGTTCACAAAATCCACCAGTGCAGTCTACGCCGAAGTTTAGACTTATTTGCGTTCGGCATGACTCGAACCTAAAGCAGATAGAAGCGAAGGGCCCAAAGAAGGACATCCCTATCACCATGCCACCACTAGTGGTCGCTTCCACTACATATCATGTATCATTACACTAAAATAAATATTGTGTATTTCCAAAGAAAACTCGAAAGTTTACACTAGAGATACATTTCTATGTATTGCCAAGTCGACTATAACAAAAAGGATTATTAGTGATGACATTTATTGTTGTTAAAATTATAGTATTAGTGACGACATGTTGTTGCCAAAAAGAAAATAAAATTTTTAAACGATTTGTCGTTGCATTTACTATTTGTTACAACATGTCGTTGCACAAAATTTCACTATTTACGATGACATATCGTTATTAAAATTTCACAAATTATTCACAACGACATGTCGTCGCTAATAGTCATTGGCGCCAAAACCAATCTGGTGTTAGTTTATTCATTATTTACGACGACGGTGACATGGCCAAAAAGAGACGAAAAATTCGACGTCGAATTATTGTACATAGTAGTTTTATTTTCTTCCCCATCAAGATCCTCTGAGGATATAGATACACTACTTTAACTGCAATCACACGAAGGTAATGCTTTAGATGAAAGATGTCAAATTCAAAGTGGAGAATTCATGGAGGTTTGGATTTGGCAATTTGTCTGCAACCAAAATATAGAAAAGTCCCATAACCCCTATGTGAGTTTGGCTACTGCTGTATTTAACTCTTTTATTGTAAAACATCTATACATCTATATCATATGTGGAAAAGGGATTTGTGGTTCACTGTCCACTCTCTCACAATCACCATTCAAAATTTTGGTTTAGTTATTTTGTCTTACAATATATCTTAAGTTTAAAGGAACGTACACCAGCAAAGATTGCCTAAAAAAGCCATGACTAACCCCAACTAACGTAAATATTTCCCATGTTTGTAAACAAGAGTCTTGTGTTTCTAAATTTATTACAAACCCGGAATATTAAAGAAGTTGCAACCAAACCCTGCGCATGTACTTTCTACTAGCAATGCATGGAAGTTATTGACGGAATTTCAACACAGAGTAAAGAAGAGTTGCAGAAACAAGTCACGTCTCCGTATAGTGTTGAACCGACTCCGGCGGTATGCTGGTGAGCAACGCCATAGACGAGATATCCCCCCGGTTGGAATCCCGGCCTTGTTTCTTTTGGCGCCAATGCACTCATGACTGTGACATGCAAGATTTTGCAACGTCATATTCAATCTGGCACAAAAGAAAATTCAGTTGGCTCAGTAAGGAAAATACCCCGTTCATTTCACCGATTTGAGTTTAAAATTTGAGCTTTTCTACAGTAAAAAGCTATCAGAAACAGTCACATCTAACTTTTTTACTACAGTAAAAAGCTCTCACATAAAGTCAAATTTCAACTCGAATCAGCGTACTAAACGGGCCCTAAATTTATTCCCAAGGCTTTCGTTTGAATCACATAAATATATATCTGAGTATAATATAACATGCGCAAAAACTTGAATTACTCTAGCATGTACCAAAAGTTTAAACAAAAGAGTTCATTCCATGTCGATGAATCAGCTTGATATGCCTTGAAAATGTCCCACTAAGCTTCCGACAGCATCAAAATAATTATACTGGAATCGTCAAGGACATGTCATGAAAGAACAAAAAGATACTAGAAAGACAATAGTAGTTACACAACATCATGTTAAGTGGGAGGTGTATTCACTTACTTTGCAATCGTGTTCAGCCGAGTTCAAATGTGCGTGTTTTCGGCGTTTCTGAGCCAAGGCCACAGTACTGCCCTAGAGTAATCCCTTGGCATATTCCACTGTTCCGAGTTTGACTGGTTATTTTTCTAATTGCCATCATGTTCTACATCTGATATCTTTTCGAATACGATATCTTATGAGAATCCAATGGTGAAGATAAGTTTCATGAAGAGGCATAGAACACCCCGCTTCGTCGACTACTTCGGCGTCGAATCTCTTGATAGCAATGTGACCTCTTGAGAAGTCAATGTTATAGTAAACCTTGTTCTGCACTGATCCTGGCCCCAACTCAAAACTTGGGGGACAAGAAAACAGCAGATTTTGTCTTGATTTTTGTTTTTGATCCTCAAAGAATGTGAACATGGTATGCTCAATGCCAATACTAGAATTGTAAAAGACAGTAACCAACCTCCAAAACCATGTGCCATTTTGTTCTTCCCTTGTTAAACCTTTCATTTTTAACTAAAGTTCTCAAACAGTCTATCAAAGTTTGGGTAACAAAAATAAAGGTAATTCTAATACTCTATAAATACTATTATTGTGTTCTACACCGTCATATTATAAAAATATTTAAGAGCACCACAACTAGTGAGTCCCATTCGTAGTTTGATCATTTGTGTCTCAATTTTTATTAGTGCGTGGTGTTTAACAACGCTAGTGCTTTTAAGAAATGTTCTTCCAAAACTGAGAGTTGCCATCTTTCATTTAAAGCAAAACTGAGAGTTTCAAGAGAGAGCCACGCAAAACTGAAGTTGAATATATATATA